ATTTGTACATTTTTATCTTCAATGCAGGTTTCATTAAAAACAATTCTATCTTCAATGCATGTTTCATTGAAAACCATTTTTATCTTCGTAAAGCTTCCGGGTGTCCAGCCCAAAGCTAGAAGTTATACAGCACAAGCATCACACTCGGCAGCCCAGGCCTGCGCGGTGCACTGAGAAGCTCCAGGACTGACAAGTCAGCAGCAGGTAAGCGAGGTCAGGGGCGGCCTAAAACCCTGCGCCTCATGGACACGGAACAACTCGACGGTAAATAAAAATAAATACTGTTATGGATATGGTGCACTACACGCACTCGTGGATACTGTCATGGATGTGGTGCACTACAAGCACTAGTGGATACTGTCATGGATATGGTGCACTAGACGCACTCGTGGATACTGTCATGGATATGGTGCACTACACGCACTAGTGGATACTGTCATGGATATGGTGCACTACACGCACTAGTGGATACTGTCATCAGCCACCCATGTGGCCCCAACTCTTGTGCCCTGTTTGAAAGAAAAAATTGTTTTAAAGTTTATTCTTATTCATTATCGGAGTGCCTTGCAGAGGTGAAATGCAAATTTTAGAATTACACAACACGCTTTAAGCAAATCAAGTTGAAATACATAATTTAGACTACATCTCGTCACCACCGGTACGAGATAAACGTCACGTCACCACTGATAGCGCTGATAAGAACAGCTTGGGACGACAATAGCGCTGGGCGGCAGGGTGGTTATGGCGCGCTGGGACCTTGAGCGCTTCACACAATACCGGCCATTGCTTTTGCTTGTTGCTTGTCATCGCACAATACAATGATGAATAATTACAGGTAATTTTATAATTCATTAACGCATAAAGGAGAATTTCTTATTGTGTTCAATTGAAACTTGCATACACCGATTTAATATTGTTTAGCTAGTCGACTATTAAATTCCAAAGGTTGTGTTCTTTTCAATTTCTAAGGTTGATCTATTGGGAAGCTGGACGGCTTACAACTCTCGACGGCTTCCGACGACTTGCAACTCTCATAAGTAATTGAATTAAATTTCAAAGCCTAATTTGTATACTAAATGCATCAATTCGACTAATTTATTAAGGGTTTTTTTGGCTCTATAACAGTGCGGTAATTTCATATTGTACCCGTGTGAAGTTCATTACAATCGAATCTTAATATTAAGTCTGTTTCTATAAACTTTCTGATGCAGTAAAACTTTTTACTGTTCTGCCTCTTTTCTCGCCCAACTTTCCACCCTTCCAACGATTCACACTAATTTCCTTAAATTATTCTACCTCCTAAAAGTGTTCACCACACTTATTAAGCATTAAATCCTCAGGCTGGTAGTTTTTTCACAGAGTTTGGTCAAACATATTATGTTAGATATTGGATCATTCAAGCTGCACTAATTTTTACTGTGAAATGAATTCCATAAGTTCTGCAATATAGGGCTCTCTCACCCCCTGAAACTGACAGGCTTAAATTTACTTTCTACGTCACAATGACGTCACCCCGTATGACTTAACTAGTCAAGAGCCTGTACTATTTGCACCTTCAATAATTTGCACATTTCCTGAAGTTTCTATTTGTGGTTCGGCTGCTTGTACTGAATATTATGGAGCTTTGGAAGCAATTGTATCTACATTTCAATAATATTTAAAGCCGGCCTGAATACACGTAACTATTGTTAATTAATTAGTAAATAAAAGTTTTGAGCACTAATTTAATTAACATTCATTTCATTACTCGTGATTGTATGAAAACATTACGTAATCTGAAATTGCTTGTAGTTAAAATACCATTATCTTGTTAATTTTAAAGTGCACAAATATATTCGTTATTAAAGATATCTTGTTCTAACATATTACCCATTCCAGGCGTGTAAATATTCTTTTCTATGATTATAACCCACAAATTTTCCACTTACCGCACAATGATTCAACAATTGCAATGAACACTGGCAACAAATTCCTTAAGAATCGTCAACGTTCAAGCAATCGTTTTTTTACCTGATCAATTCTATGTTCACCTCACTTCCAAATCCCTTCAGGATGTCGCTAATACATCACCGCCTCCCAGATGGCCCCCATCACAGGTCGCCCCTCGGTCAGCTTACCGGCGCAGTCAAACAGTCTGACACATTCATGCTTATACCGCCATGCATGCAGACATCTGGCGTTGAATCAACGTTAGATTAATCGTTTCACGCTTCAATCAACGTTAAATGGACGTTGTCTCAACGTTAAATGGACGTTGTCTCAACGTTCTTTGGCTGGTGGAATATATGTCTACTTTCGGTTAGTAAATTTAACTAAAAAATGGCATCTTCTCTAATACTAGACTTAGGGAAAAACGTCAATGGTCTAATATAAGACAAATGAAGTCAATGCTAAGAAATATAAACTTATACATATCATTCAATCGGAAAATTATAAATTTATTTCCCGGTACATTCAATCGAATCGGCGAGATTCTGACTCGTCTTCTTGGTGCACTTAATACATTTGTTTTGTTAAGATCACAGTTTTTATTTACGGTCCTCTTGATACAACCGACTATAAGTCATAGTCACAAGTCATTATTCCAGTGCTTTACTTCAGAAAGCGTATGTTACTAATTCAGCCTGCATGACAATAGACAACGCAGAATTGGGTATCTACGTCACTGCAGGTTACGCTACAAGCTGCACACAACATCACTCGGGAGCGGCTGCGCCGCTACTGCCGCACGCCCTCCAGCTGCTGGCGGGAGGCCCCCTGTCATGCCGAGCAGCTTGGGGTCATGCGTAGGGCTGCTAGAGCTCCGTGATGACTCTTTCCATTGGTACAACTCCACGCGACGCTAACAAATAGAGGCGTTTAGTGAACACTGTTGCTATAAAAAAACATTAGGCGACCAAAAATAGCAATTAGTCCGAGTATGAACGCCTTCAAGAACAGAATAGACGAAGCTATGCAGGAGCATATGTTCAGTCTTGAAATGCCTAGCAACTTACGGACAGGCAATAAGTCCAGCAGCTATCTCAATCAATCGTCAGTTATGGAAAGATCGGGTTACAAAGGCCAGATCCCTTGCGAATCAAGTCACGAAAAATTCAATAATCGGCAACAGGCCATGGGCCTATTTCTTCAGTGCCAGCAATTCTATTCTATTCTAATTTCTTAAAAATCCGCTTGAGTTGTCGGGTTGCTGATGTCCAGTGTGCTGCGGCGACACAAGTGCTAGGAGGTGCAGCCAGCCTAGCGCTCGCTGCCTGCAGTACGAGACGCTCAGGCAAGAAGCTCAGGGGGAAATGGGCAGAGTTAGAGTGCAGACTGCAGGATGCGCAACACCAGTACGTATAAACTAGGGGAGAAGGAGGATGGAGGAGGAGAATATACCCGTTAGGATGTGGATACATTCAGGGCATCGCTGCTGAGATGTCCGGTGCTAGAGAAAGCTAAGCAAGCCGTTCTTGTAAGCGAAGAGCCGATGGCATCGTATCAGGCCGATGGATAGTCATTCTTATTGTGATGCGTAGCTCCTAACCACTAGTGCATTTTAATGCAGAACTTTAAAACATATGAACGTCACGCAAAAGTTTCCGATACACACTTTGACTTTTACTTACTTGAATTGGTACTTACAGCGCATGCTAACACAAGTAAGAGAATATTCATGGACAATGGATTCGGCAAGTTGCTCATTATGTTAACACGCTATGACGACTGTGCGTGGTTTTGACGCAGTCACGCTGACTTGCAAAGTTAACAACAAACGCTGCCGGTATCCTGCTGCCATCGACTCTTTAGATGAGATCAGGATTTAGATGATTTGCGAAAATGTTGAAAACTTGATGTAATCAAATAACTCGCATATATAACCCAGATAATCCTAGCCGGTCATTTCCCCATCATTTTTTTATATTTTATAAGCAAAATTTTTTATAAACATATGAGTAAGTCTGCTGTGCGCAAATATGTTGGGGCGCGTATTCAGGATACTTATCATGTCAATATAATACCTGGACCCGAGATTTACTCTTAGTGGGAGAATGGTAAGGCCTTGCCAAACTGAGAGTAAAGGTAAGATTTTAAAAATACAATAAATAAAATCTTATAATAATAGTATTATATAATTTATTTATAAGATATCAGTAATATTATTAAAAACTTATGATCTTACAGTAAATATCAATAATTGAAATAATACTAGGAATCGTGCAGCCAGGTAAAGCCGAGCAAATCAGCTGCTTTCTTCTAACGAACAATTAACTCGTAGCCACGCAGGCGCGGTACAACAGATTCTTGACAGCAGCAAAAACGATCGCGTGGAGATGTTTCTACAGCACTGCACCTACAGCACTGCACCTACAGCACTGTACCTACAGCACTGCACCTACAGCACTGTACCTACAGCACTGTAGCACTGCACCTACAGCACTGCACCTACAGCACTGCACCTACAGCACTGCACCTACAACACTGCACCTACAACACTGCACCTACAGCACTGCACCGCAGTCTTGCAGAAGCAACAAAAATCATTACCTTATAAGATTTTTTAAAACTCCTGCATTTTACACGCGCGCCCTGAATCATCATCGCATATACCTGCCATGCAGGAACCATATCATACGAGGCACCAGTGAACCGTGCTGAATTCTGTTAAAACCACCACCATTACTCACAGCCATATGTTGGGGCGCGTGTCCAGGATACTCATCATGCCAGGATATTACATGGACCTGAGATTTACTCTTAGTGGGAGAATGGTGAGGCCTTGCAAAACAGGGAGCACGTTATTATTATTTTACTTTACTATTGCAATAGCAGCCCACGTACTAGCTGATCTGCTATTTTTTTAAGACAGAAGAATTAACGGGATTATGATTATTTACGAGTATACAAGCTTAGAGAACTCGCGGTTAATTAAGAACTTGTTGGCTTCACGGAGGCGAAAAGCCCGCTGAGTCTGCTAGTGGGACGATCTCTAGCCATAAGTGACGTCAGCCAATTAGATGTGTATAAGAGACAGTGCTAGCACCGTGCTGACGTGCTGCCTTCGTCAGCTGCTGCTAGCCTCTGTCACCGTGCTGACGTGCTGCCTTCGTCAGCTGCTGCTAGCCTCTGTCACCGTGCTGACGTGCTGCCTTCGTCAGCTGCTGCTAGCCTCTGTCACCGTGCTGACGTGCTGCCTTCGTCAGCTGCTGCTAGCCTCTGTCACCGTGCTGACGTGCTGCCTTCGTCAGCTGCTGCTAGCCTCTGTCACCGTGCTGACGTGCTGCCTTCGTCAGCTGCTGCTAGCCTCTGTCACCGTGCTGACGTGCTGCCTTCGTCAGCTGCTGCTAGCCTCTGTCACCGTGCTGACGTGCTGCCTTCGTCAGCTGCTGCTAGCCTCTGTCACCGTGCTGACGTGCTGCCTTCGTCAGCTGCTGCTAGCCTCTGTCACCGTGCTGACGTGCTGCCTTCGTCAGCTGCTGCTAGCCTCTGTCACCGTGCTGACGTGCTGCCTTCGTCAGCTGCTGCTAGCCTCTGNCCACCGTTCACTGCACAACCGTTCACTGCACCACCGTTCACTGCACCACCGTTCACTGCACCGCCGTTCACTGCACCACCGTTCACTGTACCGCCGTTCACTGCACCACCGTTCACTGCAGCAAATTGATTTGATAGTAAAATTATTTATCAGTCCCTGATTTAATGACAATTCTATTCTAATGATTAATTTTGCGGCAGTGCAATTGTTTTTAACATAATGATCTTCTAGACCAGCTCATTCTTTTGTTGTATTTTTGTTTTATTGTACAATGTGACCAGCCAGTCAATTAAGAAAACAAAGAACGAGCTGACCAGACATCAGTGGAAATTGAATCGTTTTTATATTAACGATGGAGCAGATAAAGAGAGCTTGCAGCGTCACGCGCGCAGGTTGTGGTTACGATATTTCGTTATATTGCTGAGCACGTATAACGCCATGTCCGTCTGGCAGATCCCTTGAGGAGAGCTAAATGCAGGTTAATTGTAACAGTTATGAAGAGTGCACTCTTCATTCGTTTATTCTATGAAACGAACGGGAAAACAAAATTTTTTGATGCAATTTGACGGGTTAACTGCCCTATAATTCATTCACAGTTAAGTTAAAATTGATAATTTCAGATGATAATAAATGAAACTGCAAAAAAGAAGTAGAAACAGAGCATGCGAGATTCTTAAACGACTTTCTGTACAATTAGTCAAGTACGAAAATAACCCTCCATAAAAAGGTGACAGTCTAGACTTAATATAATTAATTTGCATGCCCAATATATTAATGATTAACTTGCCTCAAGTTTCATGTAATCGTATATAATATTTTTGATGAGCGAGGAGAGTTTACAACTATTAATCATTATCATACAGGAACATACGGAAAAGTTATGAAAATGATCAAAATAAATTAGTAAATGTAGCCATTAGTTCTTAATTAATTAAGTTTGTTAACTTATATGAGGTGTAAAAATCTTACGCTCTTTATGGCTATCACACTGCGGCTTTATATAGTGTGACTTTATAGCTATCACGTTCCATGTTACACTGCAGTACACTATATAGTTGAAGGTTAATTAAGAAGGCGGTTCAACTAACTTTAGTTTCCGCCGCTCGCTCTCGCGTCAATGGCTGTGCTAAACCAGCGGGTAACGAGCGCCCAGACCATATATGGCAGGCTTCATGAATAGATTTTACCTGTCATAGCCTGAGAGATTATTTTTAATGTTGCATCAACTTTGTTATAGAATACTGTTGAGCTTAGACAGATCAAAGCTAAATTCTAACGAATGCCTGGATACCTAAAATAATTCTAAACGATGTCAAATAATATTCGATTAAACACAGTACAAGTAGAAGTTTATAGCAGTAAATTACAGGCGCAATATCAGAAAGCATTTCTGAAGTTTGGCAACACAACACGCATTGCAGGGAACAGCCATGGTTTAACTAGCAGCTTAACCATATATAGTTCGACCATATATAGTTCAACCATATATAGTTCAACCATGGTTGAACTATATATGTTTTTATTTAGTTCAACCATATATAGTTCAACCAGCCACTGCACAAGTGTTGGGTTGGGATCTGTCACATGGACTCGTATTTAAGAGCGTACCTGCAGCCAAATACTGTATATCAAATTTACTGTTCAACATCTCCTATAAGTTCTTTCATACGTAAATTAGTTCATTATTAAACACATTATTTTTTGTATTATCACGATAGAATCCACGACGCGATACGATCGTTACGCGGATGGATAAGTTGATAAAAGTTATTTAAAGAATATTTTCTGAATTGTCCTGATGTACAAAGAAAACCTCAACTATATGTAAGAAATTTTAAGTGAAGATGACAATATGTTACGTCTCCTTATATTATGTGAATGCAAAGTTCAGCCTGATTTTTGTACACATTATTTATGATTATTGAATCAAAAGGGGGAAAGACTATCTTGAATCCCAAACCTCGATTACGACGAACTTATGGTGAGCGGAGTCAAATAAAGTTTTTCTTCTTTTATTCTTAGCTTTTGCCACATATCGAAATGGCGCATTATAAATGTAATTACGCGTACAACGTTCAACATGTGATCTCACTAATCTCAAAACTGCAGCTCTTCACAGAAATCAACCTCAACTCTTCGCATTCTATTTTCCTCGTTAATTTGACCATTTTTTATTCATTGACCAATGTGACCTCTTTAGAAGAGATTTTTCCCATTGACCAATGTGACTTCGTTAAAAGAGAAATTTTTTTCCAATGACCTATGTGACCTCTTATAAAAGAAATCTGGTAAACCGATATTTTCTTCATTAGCCCAATACCGTCTACATAAGCCCAATGCTTCTTCTTAAGCCAAATGCTTATTCATAAGCCCATTACATTCTTCTTAAGCCCAATACATTCTTCTTAAGCCCAATGCTTCTTCTTAAGCCCAATGCTTCTTCTTAAGCCCAATGCTTCTTCATAAGCCCAATGCTTCTTCTTAAGCCCAATGCTTCTTCTTAAGCCCAATGCTTCTTCATAAGCCCAATGATTCTTCATAAGCCCAATGCTTCTTCATAAGCCCATTACATTCTTCATAAGCCTAATGCTTCTTTATAAGCCCAATACATTCTTCATAAGCCAAAGCTTTCTCTCTGAATAACCTAATTCGTTCACGGTGACTGAACATTTTTCGGCGCACGCGACAAAGGCGGTCAGAAGAGAACTTTCCCAGCGGCATTGTTCTGAACTTTTTCTCTCACGGAGCGCGAGTGAAAGAAGAAAAGGAAACAGTTAATGCAGTGAATAGACGGGCTTGCATGGCAACAAATGAAGCCCTTAAAGCGAGCTCATATACTAGACTCTAGAGCTTCACGTGTAGGAACGATGATTTATATTGAAATGGTGAGTATGAATTTGAACGGCTCCCCCATGAAATATTACCAGGCATAAGATATGCGTTAGAAATTTTCAATTAATGATATCAATTTGCAAGAATTTACTTATTTACCCAAATAAAATCGAACGAATTTGTATGGAAATAATTAAAAAAAGAGAGAAGAATTGGGAAGATTAAAAAGTTATTCCGCCGCAACAAATGTAGTACCTTAAATCTACACAGCAGCCGTTCCTCCCTTGAGCAACGAACGAACTCATGCGGTGGACAATCACTCAACTCGCCTCTTTACTAGTTAATGCGCGCGCTCTTATCAACTCAACTTCCTGCCTCTCGATCGAAGAGGAAAATTCCAATATTTGTGAACGTTTGAAACATTTTTCTGTTTGAAAGAACTATAAAATTTAAACACACTTTAAATGACTTAGATCACTTAAAAACATCACTATTCACATGAAGGACTAGTACTCGCAGAGACTATTTCGGTATCGTAAGTTCGGAGCACAAGACAAGATAACTTCGGAACACCGAACACGCCGCGCGCACGACACCGAACTATCAACAGCAGCTGACGCTGACCTCTAGCGACTGTCTGGCTTCTTGTCTCCAAGCTCAATGCCTCCTTGCTTGCTTTCATTAATTGCAAGAATTAATGGAATAATTCTTGCTCGCAGCCATTGTGTGACCAGTTAGCTACGTACACACGTGCAGTGACTGTGATGTTAATGCACGTCGTTTGAATACTTGCGTGTCACGCAGCGCTCGACTTGAGGCCGCTGCTGTTCCCGGCAATTCGATCTGGTCACGAGCGCGAGGAGATGGCCAGGCGAACCTCGTTAATTTTAACGTTTCGTTGATCTGAATGGATCGCAATGTAATTTAAGATTCTATTCCGGGATTGGCTTTCGTGCAATCTAAGGCCTATCGCGTTCACTTCTTATTTGAGTTGAAGCCAATAAAAACAACGGTCTTCCAGCCAGCGTTCCAAGACTGAATGTGAATGCAGCCGTGGCGAATACACAAACTGAGTAGAATGTTTTTCTTAACCAAGATTCTGGATTATTTAGGCTCAATAAATGAAAATATTATAATGAATGATAAACAAATGAAATAAGTAAGCGTTGCTATTGGGATTGCTAGCCCACGATGACAAAAAAAAGATAGATATAAAAGTGCGTTTCAAGGCAGTGTAGAGAATCAGAGTGATTGTCAGCCCACTATTAAGAATATGGCAATAAGCTGCTCGATAGGAGAAGCGTAAAAAAAAGAAACTCGCGCGCTTGTAATTTCAAAGCAGCACAGGCACAGATCGCACGCACGTGATGGAAAGGCAAGACCGGAGGGCGGCTACTCTGGCATTGCGGTTTTTGCGCGGAACAAGCACGCCAGTTTCTCCGTGCGTGATACTCTCTTCAAAATTTTGATATTGCAACTGATAAGTATGACTTCAAATAATAGGTTTCACTCTAATATAATAAGAAACATATAATTGAAGAAACAACTCTTCTGTTCCTTAATTACGTGTCACCTTGCGTATTCTGGAGCAAACGTTAAAAGAAAATTAAATTCATGAATGGAATCCCGCAGACAAAAATTCCAATTATGATGAGAGAATAATTATTCTAGTTTTGAGTCACTTTTTCTAAAAATGATATGACTCGAGCATATCTTCCTTGAATGAAATAACCAATGTATAAGCAAAACAGCTAAATGCTAGTCCCGTTGAAAATACTCTACAACGGGACAGCTAAATGCTGGTCCCGTTCTAATAGATTTAAGCGATGCAAAATGAACGCCTTCAAAAACAGACTAGATGAAGCTATGCAGGAGCATATGTTCAGTCTTAAAATGCCTAGCAAATTACGGACCAGGCAATAAGTCCAGCAGCTATCTCAATCAATCGTCAGCTATGGAAAGATCGGGTTCCGAAGGCCGGATCCCTTGTGAATCAAGTCACGAAAAATTCAAGAATCGGCAACAGGCCATGGGCCTATTTCTTCAGCGCCGACACTTCTATTCTATTCTAAAATCTATTAGGTGCACAGTACTCACATGCGGGTATGTCACTGTAGCAACATCGCTGGGACTTCAACTTCGGTACAAGTTGGGGTCGTTTTTGTTTGTTAAAATCGCTTCTTCGAATGTTAAGCTGTCATATTTTAATTTTGATAATAATAAATTAAAAAAAAATAGTTTAACATCACAAATAATTAGTCACTTTCAGTCCACTGATTTTTCTTCTTTGTTGCAGTTCACGGAATTTGAAAATTCACCACAAGTAGCGTTCAAAACATAACAAATGCCGGACAAAAATGCACACAAAACTAAGGTTAAGTGAACCTGAGGTTCAATTAACGCATTCACGGCCAACTGATCAAAAATTACTTTATCAGGCGCGGCGGACGGCGCAGCAGCGTAGGTGCGTGAGCGCAGTGCGCGATGTGTTCACGACTGTGACGAGCGCTTCTGCGCAGACCGAGCGTCGGAAGACCCGCGGGAGGAGGGGAGGGGAGGAGGGGACATGTAGGGACTCAGCGAGCCTCGGTGCATCAATGATCGCGACTCTCGCTACCGGACGACTTAAAGTGCAGTGCA